ATTCATCTGAGATAGAGCTGAGGAAAGCTTTGTTTGCTTACAGCTCAAGATAAGTTACAATGGAATTATGTTTAGAGACTCTGAGCTTCAAGGAAGGAATGGATTTCTAGAATCCACTAATCCTAATAAAGATGAGAAGGGACTATTTCCTGAAATATAAGAACTGGAGGGAAATACCGGTATAAGATACCTGTGAAAACACTCAACAAATTAACACTAAACTTTTTAGGATGTAATCATGTGACGTCTGCACCTCCATTACTGACTTTAACAGAACCCAAAATTAGAGTTGGCAACAATTCTGAAAAAGCATCAGTAATCCATAAATACTACTTAATTTTCTTGTCATTGCCACATTAAGTCACTTCCAATTCACACAGATCTTACCAGGTGTGCTAAATTGATGTCATTATGAGCCATCAGGAAATACCCACAGAGACCTGTAGCAACATTTAGAAGTTTCGTTAAACAGCTGTGTGTTTGTATAATTGATTTGTATTACTTAAAATGGGAGCAGTTAAAGCAACTTATCCGATGATGTAGAAAAGGGATGACTGAAAATTCCAGGGAGATTCAGTACGGAAGAAAGCCAATCATTGGAACTTCAGCTGGCAGATTTAAAGATTATTATGAGAGGAAGTGCAATTAAATCATCACAGTTTATCAACTATCTTTATAAAACACTATGCAACTTATCAAGCTAATTTATTTATGAGAAATTAACTAGTTGACTTCTGCCTATTGCAATAAAAAAAACAGGCTAATCAATAAAAATATTTCAAGATAATTCCTCAGCAAGTGAACATGACTTCCCATAATAAATCTAAAGTAACTGAAATTAGTTTAAAGGTTACCTTAACCATATGCTCCAACATCCTAGTAATTACAGCTATGCTCTTACAGACCTGATTCATATCTCAGATGCTGGTTTCAGATATATGCCTGCATTTAATCACACAGCTTGTAAATCACTGACATTGCAACACATATGTGCAAAGTATTGCAGCAAGATTTTGTAAGACGCCTAGAATACAAGCCCCCAGTGTGTTAAAATGGAGTTAAATCCTAAATGTGTAAAACAAATGAAGCTTTCTACTACTACTTGTAAACCAACTACTGAATCCAAAATATCAAAATTAGCTCTAGTTTGAATTCAAATGGCATTGTGAACCAGCTCAAAAATTTTTGTTCATGTTGGAATGGTGAATGGTTTGTAGAATTTTTTATGATTTATCTGAGTACCATGAACTTTCTCTAATTGCTGTTCATGGCATACTGAGAGTTTTCAGTTTGATCTGGTGAGCTAGCAAGTGACATCCACTTTGCGACCTGTGTCCCTAACTAGTTAAATCTATCTCATGTGACCAAGTGCGTCAGCCCAGATAAGCAGACAGGAGACAGAGAAGGGTGCATGTCAGTTCAACTCTCAGATCTAGAAAAGACTTTCTTGTAGTCCTAGCTCCTGTTTTGGTGTGAGACTGGCAGGCAATTGCTTAGTATGTTTATTACCTTCTGTAATTCCTTTGTGAATAGTCTTATTTGTATGGTAGTTTTTTATATTTGGTCTGGCATACCTATCTCCCAGTTTTACAAGGGGAAATGTGTTTGTTACACCAGTGGTAGCTGGCACTAAAAATATGTGAGAGTGTTGGCAACACCACTAACTGCACTGGTTCCTTCCTAACACCACCGCACATAGAAATCTGCTCTTCTTGCAGGCTCTCACTCATAGCCATACACAGAAAGGAGGGACTCAGCAGGATCAGTACCCCTTTTCACAACCAGGGTGCAATTGGAGACTTTGGACCAAGTTCATTATTGCTGTGAAGTGGTGCAACCATTCAATGGAATTCCAGTCTTAAACCAGTGGCAAACTCAGCCTTAAGGAGAAGATATTGCAGAAAATTAATGAAAGTATAAAACTATTAAAATATATATCCAAAATAATTAGTGGTCTTATTGGTGGGGCTTAGCCCCTAATTGCCAGCAATCCCTGTATCACACTGATGTCTGAATTCCCTTGAGCCATCACCCTGAGGACCATAGTCCGTATTATTCCTGAAAAGAGAGTTAAACTCATTCTGCAATTTCCCCATTTCATAGGAAATCACCTTAGTATTATATTCAATTAATATCTTGCTGCTATAACTGTCTCTGTTTTGCAAAATGGTTTCCCCTGATATTTAAGTTCACTCTGGACATTGGACTAAGATGTAGTGTATTATTCCTGGAGAGGTGCCACAAAGACATTAGCTTCAGTGCAAAGTATATTTTACCAGCCAAAAAGCCTGTTACCACATGCTTGTGTGTAGAAGTGTGTTTCATGCACACCATTTGGTGTTATGTATCTCAGGGCAGTTTTATTTCATTGCTCCTTTACAGGTAAACATCAGCTTTGCTCTTGGCTTCCATTATTCTAATTTTACACAGTACACACATATTCTGTAACTGAAACTTCCTTTATTCTCAGAAACATTTGTATTACGATTTACTCTTCCTATATAGCCGTAGGTGTGGCATACACTGTTCTTTTCACAAAAGAGTTTGATTGTGGCTTTCAGCGACAGCCCACAGGTAGGGGAGGTGTCGAGGTGCAGTAGCTAGGAAGGCACATTGCTTATGGAGTGCACACAGCAGAGGCTTCTGCTACACATTTTTACAGGTTATAGCATGCACTCATTCTACATGCCAGGACAGCTCTGTTGGAAAGTACAGAGGGTGTAGGGCCTGTTCCATCCCTAGCCCTAAGGGGTTCCTAGCACTGTTGCTGGCATTAGAGTCTCAGGTCCTTGTGCACTGGAAATGCAAGGACTGAGGGTGATCCTAGCTCTGTCAAATAAGCATAAGGGAAGGCTAATTGCATTGTTCTTGCCCAATGCAGAACTAGTCACTATCCAGCTTTAAATGAGGAAAATTTACAATTTGAACCATGATAGCCACTGGAGAAGACCAGTTTATCGGCTATCAGATTTTATTAAACTCTGATTTGCTCATCCTTAGTCTGCAATAGACAGGTCACACTAAGTAATGCATTGACTACAGGTACTTATTAACAACAGTTGTATTCTGCAAACTCACAGGCAATACCTAGAAATGCACAACAAACAGCATACATACAATCTCAGTTGGGGTCTCCAAGCACTGCTGTGATACGAAGAATTAGAATAGTTTGGGATTGTGCAAACATGAACGCAGCTCAAATTCCCATGACTGTGCATCTTTTATGAATGTGATTCATTATTGTTTGTTACTTGTATTATGATAGCATCTAGAGGCCCCAGCTGAGATCAGGGCTTCACTGAGCTAGGCACTGTACAAACACAGAGTAAGAGAGAGTCCTTGCCCTGAAGAGTTTACAGTTTAAATAGACAAGACAGAAAAAAGGCTGGGGTGGAGGTGGGGATGAGGTACAGTGGGGAACTGAGACATGGAAATTCTACGATAATACAGACACTAAATAACATGTCCAAGGTTATATAGGAGGCCTGTGGCAAAGCCAGAAACTGAATCCAGATCTCCCGAGTCCTGCTTAGAGCCTTACCACAAGGCCCATTCTTGTCATGCACAATCTAGACCAGAGGTGGGCAAACTACGGCCCGCTGGCCATATCCGGCCCAAGGGACCCTCCTGCCTGGCCCCGGAGCTCCTGGCCCGGGAGGCTAGCCCCCGGCCCCTCCCCAGCTGTTCCCCCTTCCCCGCAGCCTCAGTTAACTGCACCGCTGGCGCAATGCTCTGGGTGGCAGGGCTGCGAGCTCCTGGGGCAGCATAGCTGCAGAGCCTGGCCTAACTCGGTGCTCTGTGCTGCATGGTGGCATGGATGGCTCCAGCCGGGTGGCGCGGCTGTAGCGCTGCCAGCCACTGGTGCTCCAGGCAGCACGGTAAGGGGGCAGGGGAGTTCGGGGCAGGGCCCGCTCCAGGCACCAGCTTGGCAAGCAGGTGCTTGGGGCGGCCACTCTGGAGAGGGGCGGCAGGTCCAGCTATTCGGCGGCAATTCGGCAGACAGTCTCTCACTCCCGCTCCGAGCGAAGGACCTTCCGCCGAATTGCCGCTGCAGATCGCGATCGCGGCTTATTTATTTATTTATTTTGGCTGCTTGGGCGGCCAAAACCCTGGAGCCGGCCCTGGTTCGGGGTGGTGGTCAGGGGCAGGGGTGTGAATAGGGGTCAGGGCGGTCAGAGGGCGGGGAACAGGGGTTGAATGGGGGGCAGAGGTCCTAGGGGGGCAGTCAGGAAGGAGGGGGCGTTGGATGGGGCAAGGGTCCCGGGGGGCAGTCAGGAATGAGAGGAGGGGTTGGATGGGGCGGCAGGGGGGCAGTCAGGGGCAGGGGTTCCGGAGGCGGTCAGGGGAGAGGGAGTGGTGGGGGGGCGAATGGGGCAGGGGTCCCGGGGGCAGGGGGGTCCGTCAGGGGGCAAGAAGCAGGGGGGGCAGGGCCGGGCCACGCCACGCCTGGCTGTTTGGGAAGGCACAGCCTCCCCTAACCGGCCCTCCATACAATTTCCAAAACCCAATGTGGCCCTCAGGCCAAAAAGTTTGCCCGCCCCGATCTAGACCATTTCCTAGAGGGCAATTATTGGATTCTTGAGAAAAGACCATAACTGTATTGGAACACTAATACTAATTCTAGTGACTTTTATTGCCATTTAAGATATACGTGGTTTGATCACCTTTAGCAGAGGATAGTAAAACAAGTTACAAGTACAGTATTGAGCTACTTTTTCTTTTAAAACACTGACTTCATTAAGTACTGACTTTAAAACACATTAGTCAGCAATAACAGATTATTTGACTAACAAACTAACTTTGTCCTTCAATTTTACAAATTATTAGTTTATTTTAAATCGAAAGTTACACTTCAGTCTTCCTGATAACGTAATTAGTAACCAACCCATGAATCACTGCACAATACACACAAAGCCTCTTCTATTTTAATCGGTGAATCTAATGCTATCTAGTCTCTTGGTAAATGAATGCCATACGGTAAAAGAATAGTAGCATCTAACCTGTTGTGTAATGGTGTCCCAGGGCCCCTCCAGTAGACGAGCCCGGTAGCATTCATGAACGCCTTCCCAAATTTCATCTAGAGTTAAAGGTCTTCCATCTGTAAAAAGACACATACAATACTCTCACAGTGATCTTGTATTAAATATATAGAATGCTTCATATAAATCTGAAAAATACTGATTATCTGAAGATCAAAACAGACATGACAACAGCAAAAACGTAACTGGTCAGATTCTGTGCCAGTAATTCCCAAGTAGCACAGCTCAAACCCTGATCTGTATGTGCACTTAAAACTATGCCCTAAACTATCTGCTGCTCAGTTTTCCTACATGTAAAATGGAGAGAATAATTTAGCTAACACACTATATGAGAGCTGTGAGACTAAATTATGTTTTGTAAAGCTGAGCTCCGTGGACAAATGATATATAAGTGCAAAATATTTTTATTATCAAATATTTCACAAATACAAATCATGAATGAGAAACAAAATTCTATAAACAAAAGGTAAATATTTTTTAGTGTTCTACAGACTTTTTCCCCCTACTGTATTCATACAGTATTTACTGTTATGTCCTGGATATTACCTGTGGAGTTAAAATAGAATTATGATATAAGATTAGTGTCAACCACTTTGAAAATAAGCATGTCAATTTTGTATCAATATTTGTTTTTGACAAATAGCAATAGAATATTTTGATCTATTTCCAATAAGTAGCTTCATCTTGGCATTTATCAGGTGTCAGAAGACCATTATCCTGTGATAAATAGTGCTAATCCATTGACATTTTCGTGTCTGTAAAATGAACAAGATTTATTCATCCAATTAACATTTGAATGTCATGTTTAGATACAAGTAAAAAACCAACTACCTACAGCCTCTCTTTTATCTTATTTTCTGCACACATTTAGAAAACAGCACTAAATTCCACTCTGACATAAGCATCATACTCCAGTAGCATCAAAACATGTGGCAAATTAAGCAATCGAGGAGCTAACAATATCCAGTAACTATATTTTGCCATCCTCAAGAACATGTGGCTTGTCAGACCAACATGCCCTCTGTGTTGTGATGACAGATCATTAGACTACAGTGGGATAGGTCAACAGTTGACATTAAAGAGAAGTTTGTTAATTTATGCCTCTTAAATTTGTTCTAACTTTGGAAGGATTAATGTATGCTCTTAAATCGCATCCTCTATGCACCTATTACAAGGCTCCATGGCAACTTATTTTCCACATCTTTCAGCCAAATTGAAGGTACAAATGCAAAATCTAGGATATACTAGATTTGTGATACTCTAGTGTAGGACTTTAATGCACATCTAGGTTTCTATATTGTACTCCCACCCTGGTATCTGTGAATCTTCAATGTGATACTTGAGCACTTTGAGATCCCAAAATCACTGAATAGATTACTCTGATTCTAAATGGATTTACTCTGCTTTAGTACTATGGAGGCGCTGGTCGAATATCCATAGTTAAGAATGAGCTGAATTTTGCACTTAAAGCAAGATTTCTACCACTTTATGTATAAAAAATGCAGCATATCCTCCTCAAAATTACAGCACTTAATCTTTGAGTTATAGAATAAATTTTCTGAGAAATTACAAATCCATTAATTTAACTGAATTAAAATTAATTTTAAAATGTGTCCTTTAAAAAATTTAGCAGCTGATGTCAGTCATGGTTTGGCCCAAAAGATCTCAGTAATGAAAAAACAGACTCTTCAAGCTTCCCATATAATTAACTCACTGAAGTCTTGTGTATAGACTACATTTGAAAAATATATTTTGGGATTAATGGTCATACTTTGTCATTACTCTACATAAATGAAAGTTTTTCCTTCAGCAGAGACTAAAGAATAACATTCTACTTCAGATAATTCAGCCAAGAATTGTTGTCTATCGGCTGCCATCTCCTATTGCTGGGACTGAAGCCAGAGGCTGTCCTTGGGCACAGATGGCCACTTCCTCCATTTTCCTCCACTTACCGTATTCCTCTCTGCCTGCTGACAGTGCAAGGGGCCACTATCTTCCCCAGCTTGTCTGAATTACCATTGGGAACAATGGGAGGCAGTAGCTATTCTGAAAGAGGGCATCTTAACTGAGGGAAGCCTGTGGCCTCAGTCCCACTGATAATAAGAGGAGACGGTGGACATGTGGAAGGAGGAACTTTCAGTAATGAAGAATAATGGTAAAAATTACCATTAATTCTAAATATTTGTTTTCAAAAACTAACCATGGTACCAAGTTTATTCTGGGACAACGAACATTAAAATACTTTAATCATAAACATATATTGTTGTTTCATAGCCTTCACTCTGCTCGGCAGTGATGCTATTTGAATGCCCAAACTGTGCATTTCTGTACCTTAACATATTCTGATTTACATTTAACCTTGTCTGAATTTCCTGCATTGTTTTGTAACAATTATACCATCTCTGTAATGCATTTTACCCTAAATTACTCTTAACTTAAAGTCCATTTTAATGTAGTTCATCCGGGAATTGATAAAGATGGCATAGCTGCAGCTAGCTATTGTTTTCCCCATAAGCTCCTACCTTAATTTACCAGTCTAGGTCTGCTGAATGACAGGACATCTTCCCAATGGTGCCCTAAATCAGCCAGGTGATTCCCCTGGTTTGATCCAGCAGCCAGAAGTAACAGGTTATCAAGCATTTAATGGATATGAGGACCATCTGTGTCGGTGGGAAGAATTAGTGCCTGAAAGTCTGGCAATCTTCTCTCATAAACATCTAGACTATGGGAGGATGCAGCATGACTGACCAGAGGATTGTTCTGGTAGAAAGTAACCTGGGAAGGAGGGAGGTGTTTGTAGTCTTATTTTTTCAGTGATGGTGGTAAGGGTGGTAAATAGCAGAAATCTACTCCCAGCAAACATTTGACTAGAGGAGTGTTTTGTGTTGGGAAGTTCACTGGTTTGCATGCATTTGGTCAATTGTTTTGAGTTATTTTTGTTTGCTTGTTTTTGCTATACTAGCTTTACATGCCTTTTACCTAAAGCAAATGCACACAATTTTGTACAAAACACACATCTATATTCTGTGGACACTCCAAGTCCCCCAGGCCCTATGGCTGCCAACGTTCATACATTTAGCAGCCTTATCACATATTCCTGCAGCCCAGCTAGATCTCACACAGCCAACTGGGCAGCAGAAGTAGTCTGTAATTGTTGCTGCTAACCACAAGGGACAGTGTGGCACCTTTGTCTCTTGTGTCCCTACTCCCACTGTTGGATCAGAGCGGGGAAGGTGCAGCCATAAAGAGCAGGTGATGGCAGCCGGAACAGCAAACACAGGGTAGTGGAAGTGAGAGAAGGTCAAGGGCCCAGAGTTGGCCTTAGGTCCTCCAGCGTGAACCCACCTATCCATCCCTGCCGCTGCTGCCAAGTTTTGTGCAGCACCTTTGCTTTGAGCAGAGTGCATTGACCACAAGTGGAAATTTGTAGTTTAATGAACTAATTCACAAATAATTTATATATAAATAATCTGCATACAATGTCAGAGTGAAATGAAAAGTGTTTCACACATCAATACTTCTCCTGTGTGTCATACAAGATTTACTGTGCCTTGACAAAACATAGGTGCCATTAAAGTCAAAAAGCCAGCACATGATATGTCATGAATTTAGAGTTTTAAAAGACTTCAAGATTTTGGTTCAGAACCTGGAGCACATGAGAGTTACTGCTAAAGAAGCACTAACCAATACATCCGCAACAGTGGAGACTGAATGTGGACTCTGACACCTACCCAAAGGAAAATGGGAAAGTTGTCTTGGGAAATGCCCAACCAGGAAACGTTTGATTTTTTTTTTTAGCACAGTCTAAAAGAGGAATGAGCGAAGAGGTGGGAGTTAGGATCTCCTGAATATTACTCCTGTCACTGCCACTAACTCATGACAGTATATGGCCTTGGACAAATTAATTCACCAGACCAAGTATATGAATCAAGATAGACACAAGCAGCAGCAGTCGGCACCAAGCTTTTCTTAGGATGGAGGCCTTATTAATCAGAGCCTCAGATCTTCACATTTTACCTCTCTGTGAAATGGGCATAATCAAATTTCTTTGATAAATGTTTTTCCATATTCCAAGGTGGGTTATGCACCCTGATGCCAGCAACATTCAGGAACATCCAGAAAACAGTAAAGAGCATCCCTTCTTGGCACTGAATGTTTGGAGCCAAGACTATATAAGGGCTGTGCAGTTCCACCTGCTTCAGTTTCTTCCTTTCTACAGTTAGAAAGGTTGCTGCAGATGTAAAAATCTTGGCTCCATTCCCAGAGAGCTGAACTGGGGTTCTCCCAAGTTTCTATCATATCTTTTTTTCCTTGTAGTTTAGTTAATTTAGGGTTTTAATTTATTAGACTTCTAGTTAAAGTTTTGTTTTCTTGTTTGACCCCATGCTTGGCACCAGGAGCATCATGGCTAAGTTGTCTCTTAAAGAACCAGAGAACAAGGTCCTGTTCTCAGAACTGATGTGTGTTGTCTCAGGAAAGCTCACTACCCGACTGGTGTTCAGCGCCCCAAGTATTTACACCTCAGGCCCACAGGCAGCACCAGATTGGACATTAGGAAAAACTTCCTGTCAGGGTGGTTAAGCACGGAATAAATTGCCTAGGGAGGTTGTGGAATTTCCATCATTGGAGATTTTTAAGAGCAGGTTAGACAAACACTTGTCACAGATGGTCTAGATAATACTTAATCCTGCCTTGAATGCAGTCCTACAATTCTAAGCTTGCCTTATGATAGTGGCCTTACAAACCAGAAGTTCCTAAGAGAGTTAGAGTGCAATCTCCACTACATTCCTGTCATAGTTTCAGGGTAATTGCACCTGTAATCCCCCTCCATGGTCCCTTGAAGGCACCTACTTAAAGGCTTCTGGCTCCCAACTGTCCCCTCTCTTGGGTGTAGACTCACGTCTATCTCCCTCCTGACTGAGGTTTTTAAGGCTGTGCAGCTCCCTGCCTTATGCTGTGATATTCTCAGCAAGCCTGGCTGCTTGAAAAGGCCAGCATATGCGCTTTGCTTTCTCTTCAAAGGGTATAAACAACATACATGCCAGCAATTATAAGTTAC